GCCGCGCGCACATCCCCCTGGGCTGCGCCAGCGGCGTCGAGGCCGTGCAGACCGGCCTCGACCTGCTCGAGTTCGTCAAGCTGGAGAAGGCAGGGAACAAGGGCGAAGACGTGGGGGAGCTCGGGGCAGGGAAGCTGCAGTATTTCAATAATGGTATGTGGATGCTGGTGCTTTCCAAGAAGATCGATGTGAGGGCGATCTTCTCGGGTTACTACGGCAAAGGCAAACTGGTGCCCACGCAGAGCACCAACAAGCGGGGCTCTGCTTTTAGTTCCTGCACCATCATCTAACAGCGCGGGCAGGAGAGCTGCTTGGTTTGCTACCACTTGTATGTTTGTTTTGTTTTTTTTTTTAAAGTAACTCCTGTAACCTTTAAAATTGTAAAGAGAAATAATTGTACCTGTACTAAATAAGTCCTTTTGCCAACTGCGGTACGTCTCTGGGGAGACGGTCTGTCGGCCTTGGGAAGGAAACAAGCAGCTCCTGACTGACAAAACCTGCCAAATAGATAAAAATGTCACTAGCTGAAGTGCCGAATGCTTTTCTTAAATGGAGGAGTTTTGGGGAGACCTATCCGTGCTGCTCTGCTTGTTACTTCCTCAGAGGAAGATCTCCCACAGTCTTTTATAGCTTCCCTATGAGCCACAATCGTTAGATCATGACGCGTCGGTAGCACGTGAGCGAGCAGTGGCAGACCAAAGCCTGCAACTGGTGTGACACCAGGTGACACGAGCTGTAAAACATCTCCTCCTGCCTTTCCCAAAGCCGAGGGACTAATATTAGCAATACTGGTAGTTGAATTTGTTGGTAAAACCCAGCGAGAGCCAATTATGGGTAGTTTCTGCACGTAGGGCAGTCCCTACGATGACAGATTTAGAGGGTATCGGGATATGCAGGAGCCTTGACTAGGGGACAACCTCACGTGTGTGTCCAGGCCTGGACCAGCCACCCTGGCTCCGTATGGACAAGCAAGGGCTTCCTTGGAGCAGGATGCACAGGTGGGTGCACAGACAGACCCTGCGTTGCCTTAAAGTCAACTATGGGCTGAAAGAGAAATCATGGAAAGGAGCCAAGAACCAGGAGACACATTCGGCTCCTGCAACGTGGCCCCCTCATTCTCATGGCACGTGTCAGACGGGGCTGAACCAAGTGCTGCCCAGTGCCCTCGTCCTGTAGGGAACAATCCTGCCTTGGCAGGGAGGGGAGGAGATCAACTAGTGTCTTTTCCATCTTATTTTATAGAAACTGAAATCATGTCTGAAGTATAGACCCGTACTTCATACAAGATTTTACTACTTTTATCTAATGTACTTGGATGTTAATGTTACTTCCATCCTAACTTTTGTAATTTAGGAAGTAAATGGAGGTTCTGTAACGACATAACTTAAGCCTGCTCAGATCTAATTTTTTTTCCAGCTTATGTTTTGCTCTTAGCGATGCCGTTTGCCAGTTGCTCACTCATTGCCATCCCTCACTACCCCTTGCTCAGCTAACGGCTTTCAGGTCAGAACGGTGGCCCGAGCTCACGCTATGGGTTTGGAAGTTGATCCAGCACTCACACGGATGCTCACGGTGTTGGGAGGCCGGTGGGTTCCTCTCCTCGCCGCGACACGGGAGCGGGGAAACGCTGCGGGCTAAAGCACGGGAGCTCCTGCTGCTTCAAAGAAAACGGAGGACAGAAGGAATTCTCGTTATACCCTCCAAAAACCCCAACCCTGCCCAACGTAACCCACTCCCTGCCTCACCTTCACCCAAGCAAGAGCTGCTGGCTTCTCCCAAACTATGTGACAAAACCCCCAGAAAAGGTACGAGCGGCTGCTGCTCAGCTAGGGCCCTTCCCACCAGGAAAGCCCTGCATGGCTTTGTCCTACCAAAGGAATTTGGTATTTTAAAGCCTCAGCTGGCGAGCCCGCTCCTGCGCTCCGCACCGACGCGCACGCTAGAGCAACCGGTTCATTTGCCTGTTTAAGAACAACAGCGAGACTGTCGTCATTTAAGTGTTTATTAGTTTGTACATCATATACAGTTTATAATAAAGTAAACCAATTGCATATGGTTTTGCTTCAGTCTGTGATATTCTTCATATAAACACATCATTATGAGTTATGCCTAATGAAGTAAACAACAAGTATTCACATTTTTACTGTTCACATCCTAGGAAGGGCAGGGGCCGAGGGGGACAGTGCTCGTACTGATGTGAAGCCTGCCGTAGGGAGGAGCGCGTTTGGCAAAGCAGCCTGCGGTAGGGATTGCTCCATGCAATATT